CTGGAATCATCAACACTCTCTCCCAGGCCATGGGACAACCCACCACACATACTGGCTGGCTAACGTAAGCCTGTGGCCTGTGGCCTGGAAACACCCGTCTCTGGCTCGTAGGCTCAAAGGTTGACTGCATCATCTCTCAGGCTTGGCTCCAGTCACTATGGCGAACCAGCCCTGGTCACTCCCCTTTGTGACGTAAAGAGCTAGATAAACGAACATCAAGGCTGGGACCCTGTTCCAGAAATTAATTTGCTGCCAGGGGTCAAGTGCCTTCCGTTGGATGTCAAAAGGCCACTTAAGGATGAAAGACCTCAATGTGAGACAGGAATCCATCAAAATCCTAGAGGAGAACATAGGCAATAACCTCTTTGACATCGGCCACAGCAACTTCTTTCAAGACACATCTCCAAAAGCTAGTGAAACAAAAGCAAAAATGAACCTTTGGGACTTCATCAAGATAAAAAGCTTCTGCACAGCAAAGGAAACAGTCAACAAAACAAAGAGGCAACCCACAGAATGGGAGAAGATATTTGCAAATGACACTACAGATAAAGGGCTGATATCCAAGATCTATAAAGAACTGCTCAAACTCAACACCCCAAAAACAAATAATCCAGTCAAAAAATGGGCAGAAGACATGAACAGACACTTCTCTGAAGAAGACATACAAATGGCTAACAGACACATGAAAAAATGTTCATCATCATTAGCCATCAGGGAAATTCAAATCAAAACCACATTGAGATACCACCTTACACCAGTTAGAATGGCAAAAATGGACAGGGCAAGAAACAACAAATGTTGGAGAGGTTGTGGAGAAAGGGGAACCCTCTTACACTGTTGGTGGGAATCCAAGTTGGTACAGCCACTTTGGAAAACAGTGCGGAGGTGCCTCAAAAATTTAAAAATAGAGCTATCCTATGACCCAGCAATTGCACTCCTGGGTATTTACCCCAAAGACACAGATGTAGTGAAAAGAAGGGCCGTATGCACCCCAACGTTCCTAGCAGCAATGTCCGCAATAGCCAAACTGTGGAAAGAGCCGAGATGCCCTTCAACAGACGAATGGATGAAGAAGATGTGGTCCATATATACAATGGAGTATTACTCAGCCATCAGAAAGGATGACTACCCAACTTTTACATCAACATGGATGGGACTGGAGGAGATGATGCTAAGTGAAATAAGTCAAGCAGAGAAAGTCAATGATCATATGGTCTCACTTATTTGTGGAACATAAGGAACAGCATGGAGGACATTAGGAGAAGGAAGGGAAAAATGAAGGGGAGGGGAATCGGAGGAAGAGATGAACCATGAGAGACTACGGACTCTGGGAAACAACCTGAGGGTTTTAGAGTGGAGTGGGGTGGGGGGATGTGTTAGTCCGGTGATGGGTATTAAGGAGGGCACGTACTGCATGGAGCACTGGGTGTTATATGAAAACAATGGATCGTGGATCACCACATCAAAAACTAATGATGTATTGTATGGTGACTAACATAACATAATAAAATAAAATTTAAAAAAAAGAATGAGATGAACCTAAAAAAAAAAAAAAGCCACTTAAAGACCAGCGTAACCCCCTTTGTCATCTGTGTTTGTTTTCCATGTGCTACACCAAGCATGGTAGATGGGAGCTCCTAGTTCTGGGCAGCCTGCTTCCAACTCTTTAAGCTCAAATTATAGTAATAACAGTAGCTAACAAGTTTTGTTTTTCTCCAGAACAGAATGTATGCCATACATAGACCATCTCCTAAAATCCTCGTAAGAAACCTAAGCATTTGGTCTTATTGGTGTCATTTTGATAAGGAAACCAAGATTCAGAGAAGGTGATCTGCCCAAAGTCACACAGCTGGTGAGGGGGCGAAACAAGATGTGGGGGTGGCCTTGGCCTGTTCACCACTATCCACACTTCAACAGTGGTTCATATGGGTTAAGTTTCTTGTGGTCACTGGTGCCAGACACCAACAGTGGCTGGCTAAATAAAGAAGTAAATAAATAAGTACAGGAGTAGGGAGAGGGCTTAGCATTTACTGGAAGGGCTCTAGAGGGCTCTCAGAATCCGATGGAGAGCTGCATCCCCAGGCAGGAAGGAAGCAGGGCAGCTGGGGGCCTGAGCAGCAGGATTGGTGGGCCCTTCTGTCCGAGGCACTTGGTGCCAACTCTCATCTTCTGTGGGTCAGAGCTTCAAAACTCTTAGAAAAAAAGGAATCAGAGATCCCAGCTTGGTCATGCATACATCCCAGACCAATCAGCTTTGGCCAATGGGTCAGGGGCAGGAGCAGACACAAAGGATTCCAGGAATGGGTAGAATAGGAAGTTCTTACAGAAGGAGGGTCATTGTAAGCCAAGGAAGTCAATGACAATATCAGAAAAGGTGACCCAGAGGGACCATGAAATCTTCCTACATAGAGGGATTCAGCAAACACAAGAATCTGAGTGCTGGCTGGCTTTCGGGCCCTCATGAAGTAGACCTGTCTGACCCCATCCAGTCCTATGATGTAGGTTCCCTCTGCTTCCAGTCTTTCCCTCCCCTTGACAAGGCTACCTTGTCAATGCCTTTGCTCAGTTGGCTTCCCCATGCCTAACGTACCCTCCCTCCCTCCTCTCTAGCAACCCAAACCTTCCCCATCCTTCAAGGTGAGTCCCCCATCCTCCAAGAAGCCTGTCTTGGCCCTTCTCCGCCTTACCCCCACCATTGTCCTGCCTCCTATAAACAGCCATACCACCCCTGGCCTGTACCTTACACCTTACTATTTAGCCCTAATCTATATTATTTGTTGTTCTTTTCTGTTTCTTGTTCTTCTCTCTGCCCATTAGAATAGCCTCTTTGAGAGAAGAGACCTTATTTTCTCTCTGTATAACTTAGTATAGGACTGAACACCGTAATAAAAATAACCACGAAAAACAATAGCTCTCTTTATACAGCCTTTCAAAAGGGTTTTTTTGGTATATTATTTCATTTGCTCATCCCAACATATCTGCAAATTAGGAAATGAAGATAACATACTCCTGACTTGGCCATGTGATGTCTGGGGCCTCAGCTGGAGGCTAGAATCATCTGGCGGTTGGTGCTGGCCGGCCGCTGAGAGTCAACTGGGGCCTCCGGCCAGAGCACCTACACGTGCCCTCTCCATGTGGCTTGGGCTTCCTCACGCCATTGCAGCCTCAGGGTAGTTGAACTTCTTACATGGTGGCCCAGGGCTCCATAGGCAAGTGTCCCAGAAGAACTGGGCTTTCTGATCTAGTCTCCAAGGTCATGCAGGGTCACTTTCTACTACACTCTACTGGTTACAAGTGAGTCACTAAGATTGGCCCAGATTCAAGGATAAGGGACATAGACACCCCCCGCCCCCACCACTTCTCAACGGCAGGAGTATCAAAGAATTTTCGCAACATGTTTTAAAACTGCCACAATTCCCCATTGGACAGATAGAAAAACTAAGGCCCAGAAAGGGTGAGTGAGCTTGCCCAAGGTCATGCAGCTGACGAGCAAAAGAGCAGAGTCAAAGTCACACCCAGCTCCCTGAAGAGGTGTCATCCTCCTGTCTGGCACCTGATAGGCGATACGGTAATGGAGAATCTCGGGAAGGTGATGGCAGGGCCAAGAAGGACGGGGAGGGGCCAGCGGTCTTCTCTGCTCCGGTGGGTTCCTTGGATCTCTCCGACCATTCTGGACTCTAACCACTTTGAGAGGTGCCCACTTTCTCTGTGCTGAGAAATAACTCTCGCTGATAGCTAGGAGATAAATAAAGTAAGGAGATCACTGCCAAATGTGTGTGTTGTATATTGATCAACATATAGTAAGCAGATCTGGCTATGGCCTATTTCAGGATCCAGCTGTACAATCATGCAAAAGAGGCCGGGGCTGAAGTCTGAGCTGGGGGCCGGGGGCTGGGGGCTGGAACTGAAAGCCAAGGGCTGGGGGGCTGACGCTGGGGACTAAGACTGGGGGCTGGAGGCAGGGGTGCAGGAGCGACTGTTCCACTTTCCGACATGGTCTGATACTCACCCACAGTCCGCCTGCTTATTCACACATCTGCTCGGCACTTGCCTGCAATCACTTAAGTTTTATTACTGGACTTGTCACCATATTAATGTAGCTGTACACTTAAATTGATTGTAATTGTATGTTTCCTGAAAAACCTTGGGGTTTTTTTTTTGCAAGTATTAATTAACTGATTCACTTACATTAAAAACAATTATGTAACCACAGACCTGCCTTCCTAGCTCTTCATGTAAAAAATGGGGGTTTTGTGTAATGCATAAAATATGTAGATCAAAATTTCACAATTAAGGTCAATTTCCATTTGGAAAGGAAAGATAATTAACTGACTCGCACCTGCAATCTCCTGACATGTTTCAATTAAGGAAACAATTCTTTATAAACTTTGTAATCTGGACACTCAGAGAACACGCTAATACGGCTACTGATAAATATAATCATTAACAAAATAAATCAGGACCCCTGGCTGCAAATCTGAGGTGGCATGTGTTTTCATGTTAAACCAATGATGCTAGAATTTGGGAAAGCTGGTACAAAGGCACAGCTGGGTCCTTAAGCAGCTGAGAAAAAAACACCATGGCATTCTCTGGCCTGCCCCCAGAGGTATACAAAAGCTGAACATGCAAAGATTTTTCATGCTTCCTCTGCTGCTTCCTAGTTGTGTGACTCTGGGCAAGAGATTTGAGGTCTCTGAGTCATTGTTTCCTCATTTATTACATGGAAATAAATTGTATCAATCTCACACTGCTGTTAGAATTGTACATGAACTGATATATGTAATGTGCTCAGCACTATGGCTGGCCTTAGTCAGAACTCAGTAAAAGGGAGATGCTTTGTGTCCATTGAGGAATCTCTAGCTGGGGAAACCTGGACAAGGCCCTTCCCCTCTCCGGCCCTCCAGCCTCATCTGTGGATGTCCCTCTGGGTGGCCCTCTGTGACCTCTCCCCCATTGTGATGGGGTGAGGTACCAGCTCCCCCGCCTCACGCTCCCTCACACATGCTGGGAGCTCAGCCAAGGCCTCACACCCCATCAAGGTAAGCGAAGGAGTCTCCCGAAAGTCAAGGGTCTTATCCATCCATCCATCCAAGGCCTGTCCAGGGTAGTGGCAAAAGAGCAAGTAAATCCCTCAGCCCATAGCTGTCTTTGGGACAAGGCTCTGCTTTCATTTCCTGTCTGAGACACCCTCACCATCAACCCTAGAGATACCCCGTTTTGCAGACCCTAAGCCCCTCACGGGCAGTTGAACTCCCCAAACAATAGATCTGACCCCTTGAGACCCATTTTCAGAGTTGTCCAACAACAACAACTTCTCGACGTGTGTAGGTGGCAAGAGAGGGGAGAGGGAACCTGGCCCCAGCTCAGGCCCACCTCGCCCCCTTGACTCCCCCAAGTCTCTAAATGAACTTGGCCCATCCCAGCCTCCCAGGCCCTTCGTTTCCTCATCTGGAAATGGGACTGATTAGAGGAACTCCAAGGTCCCCTGTGCTCCCCAGTTATATATTCTTTTGTTATTCTTTCTTATCTCCTTCAGAATCTATTTTACTATTTTTACAAAGTCTAAGACTCAGCAGAGGTGTTTGACATTCCTTTTCTAAAAAGAAGACATTTGTCCCGTGGGACTGGGGCTTTGACAGGTCTCTGGTAATGGGGTGGGCTTCTTTCCCTGACCCAGCCACCCCACAGGACCGCAAATCTCTCTCTGATTTCTCATTGAGTTTCAGCGCCCAGGGAGTTCCCATGGGGTAGATGGCAGGGTGGGGCTGGGGGTCTGGCCAAAGACGCTCGGGGTGGGGGTCAGCCCTCCACCTGGGAGGTTGTCAGGCCAGCACGGTCGACTAAGTTCTCATCGTTGCAAAGAAAGCCCCCTCTGAAAACTAATCACACCATTCTCCCCCTCCTGGGAGTCTGTACCCTCACTCCCCTGCCTGACACCCAGCAGGATGGCAGTGGGAGTGGTGAGGATTTAAGGGGCAAAACTCTGAGGGCTGCCCTCCCTGATCCCGCCCTCGACATGCCTTCTCATGTGGTTCCCCCAAAGGTAGCTGTTGCATAAATTCCCTGGCTCCGAGGAGGCTGGGGTCCACAGAGAGGTGACTGGGAAAGCGAGGGCTATAGGGAGAAGAGCTTCTGACTGAGAGCCGTGAGTCCCGGATTCTTTGGTTCATCCATTCAACAAAAGTTACTGAGGGCCAACTAAGTGCCAGGCATCGGGCGCTCCGGCTATAGATGTGAACAAAACAAATAAGATGCCTGCCATCATGGAGCTTACATTCTAGCGGGCAATGAGAGACCATAAAAGAAAAAGTAGATAAAGTATAGAATATGGAGAAAAATAAAATAGGGAAGATCCCCAGGAATGGGGAGTGTGCAGTTTTTAAAAGGTGATCAGGGACAGTCTCACTGAGAGGGTAACATTGGATCAGAGACATGACACAGGTGAATTTCAGTCCTGACTCTCACTGTTGGCTCCTTGGGGAGCTGGGAGAGTCTCTTTCCTTCTGGGTTTTCCTGGAAAATAATCAAACAAATGGACTAACCTAAATCAGTAACTTACCCCCATTTTTCCCCCTGCAGCAGACTCCTTTAGTCAAATGAGGAATTACCCAAAGCCCTATAGATTGATTCCCAGACAAAAGACAGAACACTCCGTTAAATTTGGAATTTCCAGGAAACAATGAATCATTTTTTTTAACATACGTATAACCCAAGTATTGCATGACGTATTCGGACCAGAAAAGTATTTGTTGTTTATCCGAAATTCAAATTTCACTGGGCATCCTGTCTTTTTGTTTGCTAAGTCCTGCAGCTTATGGGAGCAGGAGAAGTTACTTCTCAGCACTCTGAGGCTCTCCTGCCCAGCAGCCTCTCTGAGCCTCCGTTTCTCTGGGGGATGGTATCGCAGAGAGATAGTGATGGATCTCCATGGGAAGAATGAGTGATCACCACATTCCAGAGTTCAGCCTGAGGTAAATACCAGGCCAGGAGCCCTCAGATCGCAGAGAGTTTTCACTCAAATACCCAAGGAGAGAGTGTCCCACCCAGCGCCTGGTGGCGGTGGGTGCCCAGAAACTGTGTTTTGTTTGGGTCTAGTTTTCTGGAAAACCGCCTTGTCCTCTCCCCCGCCAGGCTTTCTGAAGGCCAACTTCTGGTCCATTTATCCCAGATGGCCCCTTAGTTCCCCAGGGCCAGGAAAAGGTTGACAGAGCATGTTACTGAGGCTGGGAAAGGACCCAGGAGGGCTTGGTGGTTTTCTCTCTTCCTGGAAGTTTGCTCATTCCTGGGCTGGTTACGGAGCTGGGTTTGGCCCTTTCACCTCATTTGTCTTGGAAGGGCTGGCCTCAGGCTCTCCCACCCAGTGAGAGCTTAATTGGAAAAAGGGTGACATTTTTTTAATGAAAAGCAAAACCACCCTCCAGGCTAGATAAAGAGCAGAAATGGGAACTGCAAAGTATCGGAAGGTTCCTGGCAGGTACTAGAAATGGTCTCTTAATGGCATGAAGTCGAAGCAAGGCCAACAGCTCCTCCAGAGCCCACAGCTTCGGAACATGCTGTGAGCAGCTGGGACTTCTCAGCTGGTAGCAAGCACTTGTTTTCTCCCTGGGGTAAAATCAGTAGCCAAGGCAGTCTGCTCTCAATTATCTGCCTTGTGGCTTATCTGAGGTGGGAGAACTTCAGCGTGAGGGAGAGGAGGACTGGGGACAGAGGGGAAGGGGTGAAGGCGGCCCTGACCAGCAGCAGGGCAGAGCTGGAGGAAGCCACGACATGTCTGTGCCTACCCCTGTTATCTACGGCTGGGTCACAAACCACCGCCAAAATGCAGTGGCTTCAGACAACAATGTATTCTCATTTCTCATGGTTTCTGTGGGTTGACTGGGCTTAGCTGGACAGTGCTCCCTTGCGGTCCCTCATGCGGTAGGCTTCCGATGGTGGCAAGCCTCGACCAGCCTGGGCATCCGTCCAAAAGCACTCCTTCATCCATGTGCCTGGTGCCTGGGCTCAGATGTTGGGAAGAGCTGGGGGAATGGTGTCCGCACAGTCCCACTGTGGTGCTGGCTAGGCTCCCTCACAGCATGGCGGTCTGACGGTGGCGGACTTCTCACACCGTAGGGGCTTTCTCCAGATTGTGTGTTCCCAGAGGTCCAGACAGAAGCTGCAAGGCTGTCTATGAACGAGTCTCAGAAGTCACACGGTGCTACTTTAAAGGCCAGCCCAGGTTCGGGACCTGAGGGGCTACACAAGGTGTGTGAATTCTGGGGGCAGAGTTCATGGGGGGCCATGTGAGGGGAACTAGCTACAAGTGTCCTTTCTCTGGGGCTGGGGCTGGGGCTGGGGTGGGACACCAGCTGGTGGAGGACGTGTTGCCTATTCAGCCCAGTTTCTGGGCAGAGCAGAGGTTGCTCACTGATGTAAACAATACCCTCAAACCTCGAACGGTAGGGTTCTGTGGCACAAAGAACCAAGAAACCCGGGTCCTTGGACTGGCTCTAGTTTTCTCTAGCTGTGTGTCTTTGGGCAAGTCCCCAGGCCTCTCTGGGTACTGCCTTCCTCATCTTGAAATGGAGGCAATTGGATGAAATCACTTGATTTCACCTCTCAGCACCAAATTAAGAAATAGAACATGTTATGTGAGTCCATCACAGAGCTCAAGCCTCTCTCTCTCTCTCTCTCTCAAAAGGCAAAGAGACAAGGGTCCCAGGGCCATTTTCAGTACAACTAGAAGAACCAAGTTACCTGTCATCAATCTTCCCACTTTCTGGAGCCCCAAAACCCATGTGGCTAATTGGTATGTCCAATTCAGGGGACCTGACATGTCGCTTCCTGACTGCACGTGTGAGCGCTTGTGCATGTGTGTACATGCGTGCATGTCTGTGCTTGTGTGGGGTAAATGTTGGGCAAGTGTCCCACTGCACATTGTTTCTCCTCAAGAAAAGACTGCCAACTGGGTAGTTTATACTGGAAACAGCCCGGAGTATCTCACTATTTCTCTGACTATGTGTTGTGTGGCCTTTTAATTTAGCCCTCATTCCAAATGCATGACACGTCCTTTTGACACCTTGAAGAAATGTTTCTCAGATGGCAGGCTGGGCACAGCAGCTCCAGGCTGCGAAAGGAAAACACACAGCCCTGAAAATTAAAAGTGATTTAGGTCCTCTCAGGAAATGCCTTCCTTCAGGCTACTTGATGTGGTCATTTATTAAGTGACTTAATCAGGAAAGTAACACAATCTCAGAGCAATTAAGTCCCTTTCTGGGCACTCCTGGATCCTCCCAATTACGAGGTGGGTAATGCGTTCCTGATGGGACTATCAGAAGAAAATCGCTTCCTGGGGCTGAGGAATGGTTAGCTGCTCAGCCAGGAGAGCTCTGTGTTGCTGAGAAACGTACTTAAAGCACTAACTCTGGGGAAACTTCCCTTTTGATTGAATTCAAGCAGTTGTTAACATGGTTTCACTTGCCCGACAGTGGGACACGTTAAGGTTAGAGAGTCACAGCCCATCAGAGTGTAAAGAATCTCAAAGCTCCCCTTATCCACACTTGCCATCTCTCTGCCAAGGAAACACAGAGAATGACAGTGCCCAAAGCCATACACCTTGCGTTTGCAGATCTGGAACCAGCACCCAGTCTCCTTTCTTGCATGTCAAGCCACTTGGCTAAACTAGTGGGGAAAGGGACGCTGGGAGGCTCTGTTGGAATGGTGAGGGGACATTCTGGACTCTCCAAATAACCAGGTGTGGCTCTGGAGCTGAGCAGGGACAAATGGACTCAGTATTGCAGAAGCATCCTGTGCAAGGGTAAATGGCTAGATGAGTGCTCTGTGGGAGAATATGTTCAAAAATATTTATTGAGGGCCCACTATGTGTCCAGAACAATGCTAGAAACCAGGAATACAGCAGAGAGCACAGTCTCAAGCCTAGTGAGGGAGCTTATGCTAGACGACGTGAGGAGGTAGGCAGAGAGGGGAAGGGAACAAGTGGATGGATGAGTGGATGGATGAGTAAATAATGGACGGATGGAGAGATGGATAATAGGTGAATGGATGGATGGGCGGTTGGTTGCCACACTTAGAAAGCTAGCAGAGCAATAACACAGGAATAAGTTGGGCCTGGAATCTGGCCCTGCCCTGCAAACCTGTCTCCCAGCCAGAATCACCTCTCCTGCTCAGAACAACTTAAGGGTCACCCAGTCCTCTGTAATCCATACCCTACCTCCCATAGCCGGCGCTCCGATACTTGCCTTTCACCACAATCCCAGTTGCTGTCATCACAGCACCCCACCACCACCACTAATAAAACCCCCTCCGGCCCCTGGACTGGGGTGGACACCCCTTCCTGGAATGCCCTCCCCCTCTGTTCAGCACCTCTGTTCACTCCAGCCCTCTCTTCCTGGCCTGCCTGGGCCACAGGCCTAAATTCTTCCAGGACATGTGCTGTATCTGGTGAGCTGGACTCGTCTCCCCCAGCTCCTGCTACGTTGCCAGGTCACCAAGGACAGCAGCTGTCTTCCCCTTCAGGGTCCCCACAGAGTGGAGCATTTGGCTGGCCACACAAGGGACGATCCATAGAGATTCTGGGAATAATACCCACTCCAGACAAAGTCAAATGGAGGAGGACCTCAGGGCAGGTGCCTGGCTTGGGCTCATCCTGAGAAAAACCTGAAACCTGGGCTGTCCTCCTAGCAGCTGCTTCATATAGCCCCACACCCTCCACCCCTTTCTTGGAGGTATCCCCCTCAGAATCAGAATTGGGTTGAGGCCTAGCATGCTGGACAGGGATGGGAGACAGGCCTCTTGGGCTGTTATACTACAAAAACTACTCTTCTGAGCTGGCCAGCGACTCAGTATCTTGGATCCCAAACTGAGAAAAGCTGTTTTCATCCTGGCATGCAGGAGGTGCGGAGGGTCCCGCTGACTTTGTCAAATCCTGGCACCTAAAGGGTGGACTGCTCTGCCAACCTCCTGACCGGTCAGGAAGGGGGAAAGAACACCTCCTATTGATGGGCTTTGCCCCCATTTTATAGATGGAGAAGTCGAGATCTAAACAGATCAAAACCTCTTAGGGGTCCCCAGGTTGTTCCTCTTTCTCCCCAATGTCTGGTCAGGACTCCTCTGAAGGAGGGTGGAAGGGTTAACTCTTATTCAAAACGACTGCAACTCTGCACTGGAGGAAGAACCCCTAAATACACATCGATTTCACGGGGGTCCTTAACCAGGTTTTGTGCCTTTGGCATCTGGTGAATCTGTCTGTGCACCCCTTCTCAGAATAAAATTTTCTAATGCATAAAACAAAGCATGATTGCAAAGAAAACAAATTATGTTGAAATAAAGTTATAAAAATAATTTTTTAAAGCGATAGAGTAACATACGTGCTTCTTTATTAACATTTTAAATGGCAAGATCTAGGGGCGCCTGGGTGGCTTAGTCGGTTAAGCGTCTGCCTTCGGCTCAGGTCCTGATCCTGGGGTCCTGGGATCGAGTCCCGCATCGGGCTCCTCACTCAGCAGGGAGCCTGCTTCTCCCTCTGCCTGCCATTCCCCCTGCTTGTGCTCTCTCTCTCTCTGACAAATAAATAAAACCCTTAAAAATAAATAAATAAATGGCAAGATCTAGCAGCAGGTCTGATAAGTACCGAAATTTCAAAGTAGAGATGAATATAATAATTGCAAGATGTCTGCATCAATGCTAAGATGGTATGAAAATATCCGTGGTTTCTGTTGGTGGGCAAGTCATCAATATTGCCTGACACTGCGATGGTGGAAGCCTACATTCTTGAAAAAGCAGCTAAATTTCAGAGAGGGATTGGTGGAAATGCAGATGCAATTTTCTTCCCATCCAAGTTCACAGCTAACTTGAATGCTGACCACTGGACCTCTGAGTCAGCATCATCACAGAGTGACTATTTAATGGTGGGATCTCGGGCAAAAGCCTGACGTCTTCCTACCTCAGACCCAGTCCCCAGCACACCTCCAGACCCTGAAGGAAATGTGTTCTGGATTGAATCAAATACTTCTCAGCTCCCACCATGGGCAAAGTGTGGATAGCAGACCACACCTGCCTCCATATCCAGCTCATTCCTGAAAGTTTGGGGCTTTATTTTCATTTATATATATTTGGAAGCAGAGGTAGGTGTCCCGGACCTGCTAATGGGAGACCCATACAGCAGCAGGAAACGTTCAAGAACAGTTCATCCTTAGGAAAATACCCTCCCTCTGACACACCAGCCGGCTTGGGAGACGTGGGAGGGGGGGCAGTCGGAAATGAGTCTCCATTCCCAAATGAGCCGATTATTTCAGCGGGGCGGTTTCCCTCCTGCCCCCGCCCTGGCTGAAAGAAAACACCAGTGAGCTGTTGCTGTGCTGGCTTGGCTTCGCAGCCCAGCTCAGGTTGTCCCTGGGACCGGCCCGGAGGGGGGCAGAGGGTCCCAGCCTGGCAACAGCACTCCGTCGAGCAGGCACCCATGAGCCCGCCTGGCATCTGTGCAGGCTTCAGGACCCCTTCCTCCCCTCTGCTCCTGCCCAGTCATGGCCAGTGTACTCAACATTAACTGAACGGTTATGCTGCTCAGAGGAGCAATCTAGGAGAGTGGTTACAGGCTCAGACTTTGCCAGCAGACCTCAGTTCAACTCCTTGTTCTGCCACTTCGATAATGTAACCTCCGTGGCATCCCAAGCACTCACTTCACCATCTGTAAGATGCGCCTAATAATGGTATCCACTCTAGAGGGCTGTCAGGGAAATCACTGAAATGCTGACTTTAAAGCCCCTTGCTCGGTGCCAGCACATAGTAAAACAAGCAATAAAAGATAGCAATTACTTATAAATTAAGTTTATGTTTTTGAGCTCCTGCTGGGACAGGGCACCTACAGCATGCTGGGCCATTTCCACGTTCAAGGATGGGCAAGGGCTACGAGGGAGAAATTACTCAATCAGTTAACTGTGAACAGCTATAGGAAAGGAAAAATATTTGGTGTTTAAGGAAATCGACCATATTAACTAAAGGCTAAAAACAGACCTGCCCTTGACAATGGTACCTGCCCCTGGTGCTGTGGGCCTGGGTGGATGAGTGCAAAGATTTTTCCAACCACTTGTGCTTGTCAGGCTAGTGAAGGGAGGCTCTGTTCTTGACCCCCAAATGGGGTGCTAGAAACTCCCAGGAAGCACCACAGATCCAGCGGGAGCTCAGGGCTGGGGGTGTGGCATCTGTGAGTTCCCGCAAGAGAATGCCACCTTCTATGCGCGTGTGCATATGGGCATTTTCTTGGGAAGAGGACTTTCCTCGCATTGCCGACTGGATCTCTGACCCCTGAAGTTAGGGAGCCCCTGCTTTTCAGAACAGCTTCACCATCTTGTATGGCTCTCAGACTACAATTCAAACACCAGTCCTTTCTCTGCCATAAAACTGCATTTGCCATCCCCAGCTCTCCCCCAATGGGGCCAGAATAAACGTACTTCGGAGGGTTCTGTTATTCCTACATATTTTGACTTTTCCCAGAAATCTCACTGTCTCACTCTGGGGAGCTGGAGGGGGAGAGGTGATGAACGCAAACCCTGGGAGGCCTTCCCAGGCATAGCTAATGTAGGTCAGGAAGGCTTCGCCAGACTTTAGTCTGTCTCGCCCTCTAGCTTAATTCTCCCTGTTGTTCACACCCTATATTAAGACCACCTTTTCAAAGAAGGCTTCCTTACCCACCCAGACACACGATATTTCCTTGCTCTCCACCTCTGTGCCCGGCCGTTTTTGACAGCTTCACACGGCTCGGTTCTTTTGCCCTACTAGGCCATGAACTTCTAGAAGACAGAATAGTGTCTTCCTCTCTTCCCCCTCCCTGACCCCGTGACAGAGCCTAGCACAGAGTCGGACACAGAGTAGAGGCACTTCAAATACTCCTTAGACTGATACTTTAGGAAAGTAAGTATATTTGTTTCATTGACCGGAATGGGATGAGATTGAATTGAACTGAATTGCTGGTGGGTATTGTCAGTATTGA